AAAAAAAAAAAATCGGGGGTAGCCCTCTTGGGCCCCCCACCCCTTCAACTTTGGGACCCCCCCACTTCGACGGGTTGGCTCCTCCCCTAATTGACGGTAAGGATATTATGAACATGCTATTTTATGATGTTTTTTTTTTTTTTTCCTTTGACATTGTTTGATGGTTGGAACAACAATTCATCCACGTTATTAAAAATTCGGAAGATAGTTTCTTGACTAAGTAAAAGTGAGAATGTTGGAAATACATATTTTGTATTTATTAAATTGACTTTCTTGATTTCTTGATTTGACTTTTTTTAATGTCGAAATAACGGATTCTAATATGCACTCGATGAAATTATATTGGTAAATAAAAGGTTATTTAAGCAAGTATGTTCAAACTCATCAACACTTGCGTCAGTGAGTTCATATGCGCGCATATTCGAACATACTAGTGAACTAGATAAATATTATCAAAATTTCATATTTTCGATTTTTGTGTATTTCTTAGTCTGCTTCATATATAAACTTGATTTTATGGTGAGAGAATAACATTTTGGTTACATATCAACATTTTTTAATATCTTTGTGAAGATTTCGAATATATTTGTAGGCAGTGACTGACCCATCAAGGGTCCAATGGGTGCAGTCGCTCCCACTAGATTTTCAAATGCCTCCAACTTGACTTTTTTTAATTCAAAATTTTGGCTTTTTTTTTTTTTACAATTTATCTTAGTTCATAATTTTCCGTACAAACCCAACAAAGTCTCAAGTCTTTGACATCAATTTTTTTAAGACTCGGTCCACATAATTCCCACTCAATCGTTCCTATTTCCATTCCTTCAATTGTTCCTAAACTCAATTTGCAAACACCACCTTGCTGCTTGCTTGCGATTCCAACTCAAATCGTACAAAGTATCAAAACCGACTCACGATATTTTGAAGGAGAAAGAAGAACACATTAAAGAAGTAAAATTTTGTAATCCCTCTCTCTTTCTTAATCTTATTATTTATTTTTTATAGTTATTTTTGTTCTTCGATAAGTCATAAGTATTTAGTGGATTTTGCGCTTTTGCTTGTTTTGATTTTGAATAAATGCTTTAATTATGCTTAAATATTCAATTTCATCATTTTTTTAGTGTATTGATTTGTGTTAATGCATGTGAATTGAGTGTATTGATTTGTGTTTAACCAGTTGTTATTGGACTTGGGAATACTTTCTTTAATTCTTTATCTCTTTAAGTAGTTGGTTGTTTATGCAAGCTTTGTTTGATTTATAGAAAGATGTGCTGAGATATTTTAAACAAATATTTCAAATTTTTATTGAAGAAAATGTTGAGACAAATAAATTACGTATTGAGGAAATTTCTATTGAAGAAAATGTCGTGGCAAAGGAAGTAGTGATGATGATACTATTGGAGAACATGATGAAGCAAAGGAAAAAAATATTGATGAAACTGAATTTCAAGAAAAATTATGAGGTCAAGAAAACTAGTATTGAGCATATTAATGTTGCACAACTTCTTAGAGATCTCGGATTAAGAACTTCAATAATGCATTACAATGTTATACGCCCATGCCACTCAAGGTGCAATACTGAAGAAATGACATATTTTTATTGTTTCCGTGTGGATTTATTATATTCTATTATTGATATGCAATTTCAAGAGTTGAATGATCATTTTTCAGAGGTAAGTACAGAGTTACTTTTTTGTTTAGCATGTTTATGCCTCAATAATTCATCATTTGCTTTTGATAAGGAGAAATTAATTCATCTTGCTAAGTATTATCTCATGGCACTTGATAATCAGTTTCGAAACTATATTGATCATATGCGCTCTAACAAGGAGCTTGGAGAATTGTAGGGACTTAGTAAACTTGCACTGAAGAAATCTTTGATAATCGTTCAATGGTTGAATCAAGATCCGGGCCAGAAAAAGATGTGAAAGCGCCCAATGTATTTGATAGGGCTAATGAAGAGATTATGGCGGTATTTCACCTTGAGAAGCACCCGAATCACCATCACAAGGAAACTCATGGACTGCGTAGTGACCTCAATGAGGACACATCCGTGAGTGATGTCAAGGCTCCAAATGCATTTGAAAGAGCAAAGGAGGAAATTGAGGCCATTGTGGAGACGATTCATCCAAAGAAGGAATCGAACAGTTACCGTTCATCTTCACATGGTGAAAAGAGAAATGCTGGCTCAGTTGATCATTTGGAGTCAAAGAAACCAGAACTTCCTTCAGAGAAGGATGTCAAGGGACCCAATCTTTTTGAATGGGCGAAAGAAGAGATTGAGTCACTCATGCACAAAGGGGAGTCACCACACCACCATTATAAGGAAACTCATGGAATGAGTGATGATATTGACGAGAGTACCCCAATCAGTGAAGTTAAAGGCCCAAATTTGTTTGAACGAGCAAAGGAAGAAATTGAGGCTCTTATTGAGACAATTCACCCGAAGAAGGATTCTGGT